TAACCCAGCGGTATCGTGAAAGTGTAGTCGAGCATGAACATCAGACTGTAAATGGGATGCGGTTTTCCAGTCTTTCTTAGCTCCATTGGTTATTTTCGATTATGTGGTCACACAATTCTGAACTCCACTCACAGTGTCTGAATGAGACCGTGATGATAGCGACAATGGCCAACGTTAATCGAACACAAGATGGTTCCGCGCCTGTTGGAACCGCTTAATTAGAGGCTAGTTTATCTTCACAGAACACACATGCGCGGAAGATCCCCTGCATCTGTGGAACCCCATCAGGAATACCATGTATTGCACATGTCAGAATGAAAGATCTGTCCTGTCAGTTGATGGAAGGTGCATGACCCAGAGGTGAAAAGCAGTAGGCGTACCGGACAGTCAACTCGATGTCGTCGGCTGTACCCCTCGAGTAGCAACCCTCAAAAAAATGATGAGTTCAGTCGCGCATACCGTAGCCTAGCATTTCCCCACGTTAATACGGTATTCTGTAATGTTGTGTAAGAGAGGAAAAGCGGTTCCCTTGAAAATACACTCGCCCTTTACCATTTCAAACGTAAGTCGGAACAGAGCTCTGAACCTTTGGAGGAAGCCCCTTCAATGCCTTTTCTTCTGGACGCATTCACAGAAAATGATTAGGGCATGGAATCCATCAACACACAAATACACCTGTGTGTACAACAATGTGCTCAGATCCTACACGATATATAAAAGGGGAATAGGCGCTTGCCATCCAGGGCCAGTGAAGAAGGCTTTTCATTGAAGTAAGCAAAACCTTCTGTCAAACGAATAAAAAGGGAGTGACATCAGCATGGAGTATAAACGTATAGTATAAACGTGCTTCTGAAGTCGTATCGCCCCTGCACGCGTATTCCCCATAGCGTTTTCGGGAAACTCTTCTGATTATTTTGATGAAGACCTATCTACTTACTCCATTGAGCTCCTCAGGTTCAATTTGCTGCTAGTAAGAGGGTCAGCTACAACTCAACAATTTGGCCAACTGAAGAGCGCAACCATTCCAGCTACTCGGTTATACAACTCTATTTCATAAAAATCCCTGATTTTCAGAGTATACTGGGTCTATTGTGTTGGTAGAAACCGAGCCCAATTCGTAGTTTTGCCTCCTTTACTATCATTTACTATTTCAGGAATCGTGAAGAAATGTTTTACACTAGGTATCCACATAAAAAGGCCCCTTAAAGTTTCCAAACCACTAAACTTTTATGACATCAAACGCCGATTCCCGCAAGTTGACGTTGTGGTCTTTGGTTGTGCAGCGTCGGTCCCGCGACGATCAACACGGCCGCAAAATTGCGAGGCCGCCGTCTGATTGTTGGTCTTCGCTTGTCAATATTCTTCTTTTCACCCTCGTCGTATTCATTCTGTTGTTTTGAAGTTATCGATTCCTATTTCTTGGATTCCATCATACAATGTTAACCTTGAAACCTTCTCAACAGCAGTTACCTCCTTTTACAAGCAATAGTTCGGGGCTGCTAATTAGTCGCTGAAGCCGTGAGACCTCCGAATTGCATATATGCACCTCCCTTTTGACTTGACTCTTGTCTGTTGTTATGTGGTACTTTCTCATGTTGTTTTCAGATCGTGTCAAGGTCGATGTTATAGGGTATATATAGCCTACGCCATCCTTAAGTGATGCATTTAGTTAAGGTCGAACCTTTCATCCAATCAAAATGGGTATCTCCGACAATGACGTGCAGAAGCAGCTTCGCCACATGATGGCATTCATCGAGCAAGAGGCAAATGAAAAAGCTGAGGAAATTGATGCTAAAGCAGAGGAAGAATTCAACATCGAAAAGGTTTGTTCTCGTGAAATCGATGTTTTCCTTCTTGTGATTCGGCATTACACTACGTAAATGAGCATTCCCATTGTTTCCTACGGAAAAATTCCCGAATGTTGACTTGGCGATATTTTTCTGCTGTTCTCGGCTTTTACGAAAGCATGAATACCCATCAGTCTCTTCTGTCGAACCGCTTGCCTTTTTCGGTTCACTTAAAACGATTTTGCCATGGAAATGCTCTCCCGGTCGGTAGGAGTGCTGTTCTAACTTAGCTTAATTTATTGCTAAGCCAACTGTTGAGGTCAATAAAATTTCGCAATATATCTGGCAGAACCCAAGATGCACTTTTATCCTTTGATCCAGATGATGGTTCCCATTCCTTCGTTTAGGGTCGATTGGTGCAGCAGCAACGTCAAAAGATCATGGAGTTTTACGAGAAGAAAGAGAAGCAAGTGGAACTCCAAAGAAAGATTCAGTCTTCTAACTCTCTCAATGAAGGACGTCTTCTGTGTCTCAAGGTATGCACACAACAGTCCATAAAGAAGAGTACTTACTGAGCCGAATTTTTAAAGCTAAGACAGCTGCCGAGTGTTTGGCCTTAATTCCTTTGCCAGTAATTCCTACATTTTGATTTCTGAACACTTACCCTCGTCAAGCTCTTTACTAAAATGCTCGTTCTTTCTATCATTATCTGATTGTCACTGCCGTTTTCAAGTTGAATTGGGCTATGATTTGCATAGCGTTTTCCATACTATTTTATGCACATTCCTAAATATAGAAACGATTTAGGCGCGTGAAGATCACATTCGAAATGTTCTCGATGAAGCACGCATGAATCTGTCAAAGATTTCCAATGATCAAGCACGGTATCCCGCTATTCTTAAGGGACTCATCATGCAGGTACGTTTCTATTTTTGTTTTTATGAATGTTTATGACGCAATAGGTTTTGATCCACATTTGCTCTAGTTCAGTGGCACATAAAATTTGGAATTACATCGAGTTTATGGAAGTACATGCT